CGCTTCCAACACGTACCCGCTTCCTAATTTTTTATATTAAAAGTCGCTTATGCGCTTCTATACGCTTCCACTTCCGCGTATCCGATTCTGATTCCATGCAACGTAGATTCTGAGTATATTGAATCAATGAATTTAAGTTGAGCATGTTATAGATTTCAAGAGTTCAAACTTCAACTTATTAAATATGATTTTAGAAAACAATTTTGCTTTCTCATTATAAATTTCTTACCATATCTGCAGTGCCGTGCCAAAACTTCTAGAGGCGTGAGGCGAGATAAAAAATGGGGCCCTTTCCAATATTTTTTTAACGATAGTTTTATATAATATAAGTTATTAAAAACGATAATAAATAAAGACTAAAATTAAACGAACAAAAAAGTCTACCTGATATTATATGTTGGAGGAGAAAATGTGAAACCAAAATTGATATTATATGAAGAAGCCGAGAAGAGAAGTGGTGTCGTGAAGAGATTGAGGATGAAGAGTTTATCGGTTGTGGATGAAGAAGATGAACAGACTGAGAAGCTCCAGGAGAAGAATTCGATTTCAATTAAGATGTAGGGTTTAATAAAGAGAGGAAACAAAAAAAAGCAAAATTGCTTTCCAGATTTGCGAGACCTAGTTTCAAACTTGGATCATGGAATTAAAGTGGGCCTAATTGAAATATTGATCACCACTACACTATAGATAATTTTCGAAAATTTGGAGCCCCTAAAATTTATATATTACTCGGAGCCGTGAGGCAAATGCCTCTTCTCCAACCCCATAAGCACGGGCCTGCATATTTGTTATTCGGCTTATCCTAATTTTACATCGTAAATGTCTCAATCCTCAAACTAGTCACATGCATGTAGAACGCTAGATATTTATGTTTTGTAACTCGTCTAAACTGGACAAAAAAAATCAGATATTTTAAAAGTGGGATTCTATTTCCAGTTTAATTTTGTGAACGGATCCTCATTTGTATGCGAAAACTGTCTACTATTTTATTTAGGGATATTGGGTTAAATAACCTTTTTATATATTTTTCAAACTATTATTAGTTGTTTTTTTATAAATGATAAAATAGAATAAAGAGTAAACCGTAAGAAACTAATCCAAACAAATTTTCTTATCAAGTCATGATCAATTTATAATCAAGGTCAAAACAAATCGGATCGGGTTATAAAAAAAAACACAACACATGCTTTATAGATAAACACTAGTGTTCAGCGTTGCACGAGCTATATTGAATGCTAAATATAAATGCTAAATATATTTAATTACAATACTAATTATGCAATATTAATTACAACACTAATTCCAAAGAAAACATATTTAACCTGGACGGATCTAATAGGTAGTTCGTTCTTTGTCTGAAAACTTTTTGAAATGTTTCTTCACTAATCTCTTTGAGTCGTACTTTCTGATCTTCTTCCTCGCCAGTTCTCAATATGAAACTGGAAAAAACAACAAAGAGGAACGATATCAAAAATAAAACTGATAAATCTCACATATCCGGAGGTGAATAAACACAAATCAAACGCAAAATCACCCAATTTCCAATCATATTGATTTTTTTTTTCACAC